ATCGGGGGAGGGGGGCAGATGCCATGAGAGTGAGCCACGACCGTTGGAAAAGAGACAAAAACTTGAGGTTTTCTCGACTCAGCAGTCAAAGGTATTTCGCTAATGTGTGTTCGTCTAGAATGGACAGCCTTAAAACCCGTTCTTTCTACTGAAGAGGCACTCACCAGCATTAGCAGCCAAAAAGCAGATATATATATATACATATAGATATAGGTATATGTATGCTTTCTAGCGTATGCAATAGTTATGATATCTGTGCAAGGCGTGCGTAATGTATAGTGCATAGTTCTGAAATCCTAATAGCATTAGATATATACATATATAGATATATATGTATATCCTGGAATATGTATAGATACATATATATTTATATGGATGTGTATATGTATATATATATACATGTGTATGAGGGGTAGCTGGGGACTTGTAGGATTTCTCGGATCTGAATATCATTCCCTACCTAGAGTAGACAACCCTCCATGACGGAGAAAACTTAATCTGTTTTCGATAAAAGTATTACCATACGATTCTTCGTGATGAAGGAATATGTCTACATACTTTGCTGTTAAAAAATATTCCACACTAAAAGATTCCCCTGCTCTAATGGCGATCGACCACCTCTAACAGGATTCTTGTCTGAAATGTGAAGAGACAAGAATCTTTAAAGAAATAAAACAAGAAAGTCGACTGTATACGTCATATTTGAACAATGAGAAATCTATTCTATGGACTCTTTGAGCCGATGAAATACAGAAAGAAAAGCTAAAGAAGAAATAAAAAAACCGTTAACATATCGACATCAATAGATTCTCTACATAATGTCGCTTTCTAATACATTTTCTTATGCCTTCGTAACTAACGTTATATCGGTAACGTACGGTAAAACGGTCATGATAAATCGGTAAATTAGCATTACCGTTTCACGCCTCATTGTCATAACTGCTAGACAAATATTCTCGAGTGAGTTAGTCTTGTACGATTTGCATACGTCTGAGAGTAAGGACATTCTTAAAATGTATGGAGGTCGTAAAAGACTAATTCATTCTAGAATATTTGTCTAACAGTTATGACAGTTACAGTTTTACCATTAATTGTAAGTGTTGCATGCCTACTCTCGTCTTCTTCTAATGGCTGATACAAAAGTCTTTGGACGAAAGCCGAGCCATATTTTACCATATTCCCAATACGGGTGATACTAAACATTTTTTTAGTTGAAAAGACCGAAATCTGAGTTTCCAAAAACATATAAAACAAAATTTTTGTGATTGAGTTTGAGTGAGAAAAAAGTTAAATACCAAACGTTACTCGAGAAGCCTGTGTCATTTTTGCACTATTCAAACATCTCTTTTTCATCAAACATTCTTTCCCTCATAACAGAATACGTTTGAAATTATGTATTTATAGAAACCAAAAGTGTTTTTGTGACTCTTTTAAATAGGATATAATAAATCATCTTCTAATCCACTTTTCAAGTAGAAATTCGCAAATTTCTTATTCTTAGTTTAAAAATAATCGTTAATTAGATCTAATGAATAGTTTTTAGATAGAGAAAAAACTTCATTCTTTTTTCTGAAATAAATTTTCTAAAAAACAACATTCAATTTTCTACAAACTCGTATTCGTCTTAATCATTACTAATATATGGTGAGGCATAAATGCAGAAATTTTCTCGATGCCTCGTCTTTCCCGTGCAAAATGATGTTTTTGATCATACGCCTTTTTTCCAGTTAAGACACTACTAAGAAATTTTCAAGAATAGAGCGATTGATAGTAGGGATGCAACGGTAACGGTAACCGGATCTTACCGCTCAAACTGATTCTAACCCCTTACCGGTTTCAATCCGCGACGATTGCAAAAGCTACGATCAGAGTTGTTCATGTGCATATTATTTTTTTGCCCCTTCTCCTTTAATACGAAATTTTTTATTAGATGTTTTTTCGAATCACTTCTTCTTGGAGAGGAGATTATTGCTTGTATACCAAGAATTTGCTCCATAAAATAGTCAAAATGTGAAACAATAAAATTGAAAAACAAAAGAAATATTTGCTATACAATTCAAAACACAAAATAAATGTTTCTTTAATCACAGTTCTCTGTTAATCAACATAATGTTGAAGAAAAACACTTCACAAGAACAATCATCATTAAATATTGTTCGTTCTACATCGGTCACACCACTACTCGTAGAAAATTTTCTTAATACATCAGCAATAACGCATACACCATGTTCAGATTCATGTAGAAATTATTGAAAAAAGCGAAAAGACACGTCAAAAACTCAAAAAAGCAACAAATACATTTGCAATATTTGTCATACATTGCAATATTTTGATTTAAATATTTATAAAAATGTGTTGTGCTACTATAGGCTTTTACAATGTATGTTGGATCACGTGTTTCTGCTAATTTTGAAAAATATCCTTTCACTTTATCTCGTTCACCACTGGTTAGAGGTAAAGTATCGATATACAAATGTATGTCTGGAACGATTGTTTCAAATCTGTGATCAACATGATTATGAGGATTGGTTTGTAATAATGATAAAAACTGCCTTAATTGACTTCGTATATATTCTCGTCTTTTAAATGGTTCACGAGATACCAATGTCCATTCAGTATGAAGATCACCACCAATAAAACGCTCATTGTCATTATCATTAGTATTTTTGCACCGAAACACATCTTTTGTACTATGTGATCGAGCTTCTTCATATGCAGTTAAATGGCATATTACGTATTGTACGTGATGCACCTGAATTCGAGAAGTAATTTGACGATTTCATTATGACCATAATACGACGCTACATGTAATGCTGTGCTTCCATTTGATACTCGTTCAGTTATACCATCAGCGGACATGACTTGTAGATATTTTTGAACAGTGGCAACATCGTTTTGTTTACATGCGTCATATAGGTCTTGAGTAGCAGATGCAGCATTTCCCTGAACACGATAAAACAAAAGAGCTGTATATTCACTATGCTTCTACCAATATCTTAACTTACATTTGTCTGTTGTAAGTGTTGCATGCCTACTCTCGTCTTCTTCTAATGGCTGATACAAAAGTCTTTGGACGAAAGCCGAGCCATATTTTACCATATTCCCAATACGGGCGATACTAAACATTTTTTTAGTTGAAAAGACCGAAATCTGAGTTTCGTGAAGAAACACCAAGTTATTGACGAAAAACGATGAAGCTCTGTCGAAGAAACCCCATGTTTTCAGGAAAAAGAATGAAGTTCTTGCGAAGTTACACCAAGGTGTTTACGAAAAAAGATGAACCTCTATTTAAAAAGCTCCAAGTTCTTGAGGAAACAGGGTGAAATTCACGTGAAGAAACACGAAGTACTTGAGGAAGGAAGATAATGTTCTCGGGAACAAACACCGGGTTCTGTACGAAAAAAGTTAAAGGTCTCTCGAAGAAACACCATGTTCTTGAAGAAAACTCTCGTGAAGGAACAAGAATTTTTTGAGGAAAAATGATGAACCTCTAGAAAATATAAGCACTTTCATTTGACATTTATAATAGAATTTTTTGACGGACAGTAGATAAAAAGAAACAACTACTCTCTAAAAAGAAACGTATCCTAGAAAACTGTCAACAGTTATTTTTCCTTTTGCTTTGTTTTGTTTTGATAGTTTATTCGATCCGAGCGTGGTAATCATTTAAAAAGTGAACAACATTAACAAAGTGTACTTGTAATGTTTGAAAAATTACAACAATTTCTAAACACAGTAACTAATAGTACAGAACCGTTAATAACA